CACACACTTTTAGACATACACAGGTGGACTGGGTGCAGTAATCCTAATAATTGTTGCGACAGCAGTGATGACGGCTGTGAAAGCCTGAATGATAGACCGGACAGAGAAATGGCCTCATTCACTCATTCACTAACACCTGCTTATAGACACTGTCAGGGTAGTGTGTGTGCCTGTGAGTGGTGTGTCATCATTCATTAGATCGCTGTTACACCAGAGCTGAGTTATTGTGTTTGAAATGTTTTGAATTCAAACTGCGGCATTCGTGAAACAACATACACCACAGTTTATGAGACACGCCCAGTCCCGATCAAGCTCCATTTGCTTAGATAGAGAAGAGAAGAGAAGACAGCGGGTACAGGATAAACTTAGAGGCGTTTTACTTTTCTGTTCTTTCCCCTTTACATATTTCATCTCCTGCTATCTATATTTCAAAAAACCTTTGCTTAATTATTGATATACAAAGAGAGCGCACGTCCCTCCGTGTTTCTCCACCACACAGTCTTTCTGAAATACTAACTCTAGTCTTTGTCACTTTGTTAAAAATGTAATTTATTCAGTAAAGGCACAGGGTGGTTTTACGTCACAGTGTGTATTATAGTGCATGCATGGTAAAGAGAGGAGTGAACTGTAAAGCTTGTTTTACTAAAATTAGACAAACATATTCTCTGATAGCAGAATAAAGAACATTAGCACGGGACAAAAAAATAAACATTTAAATGTATTTAGAAATTAAATTTGGCAAATATTTGCTCCAAAGGTGTCCACACTTCCCCCAGCCTGAAACGGCTGGATTGGATTTTGTCCACACATAGTGACATCACTACGTAACCCTCGCCCTTCCACGGACTAGCACCCCAACACATTGTACGTGATAAGGGGCTAAGGTGCGGGACATCTCTAAGCGGTTGTTAGGGTTAGCAAGCTTACTGAGTACAACGTAAAATCTACTAAGGCAAAGAATGACTGAATTTGCAGCGAGTGGCCGTGTTGATCATGTTTTTTATCGCAATTAGCATTAACTGGAAGTGATTACTCCTCTTTTACTTTTTCACTTCTGAATTGCTTACCGTTTTCTTGTTTTTTAATATGTCTCTAGGTCTCCAATTATTTAAGACTTTTTTTTATCTTTGCTTGACTATAACTCAAAAGTTAGGTTACACATATACAACATCATATTTACCTTTTTGTATTAATGAATAATAAGTATTAATTGTTTTAACCCTCTGACGTTTCTATATTTCTCCTTTCTTCCCCCTTTTTATATTCTCTTTTCTGCTCTTTCTTTCTTGCTTGCTTCAGGCCTTAACCCGCATCACACACTCAAATACACTTACTCATACTCTTTACATAATATATCTTCTTTATATCGGCGTGCGTGTGAGAGTCAATGGTGTTTCTTACGGTCTAAATAACATTTTGAAAATGTATTTGTCCTTACTCTGTGTACATTTATCACTGTTACTACACAATAATACTTCTATATATCCTGATATATTATCTGTAGGTCTAGCTTAAGGCAGTGACAGTACATTACGGTAAAGTACAGCTGTACTCTCCAGAGACCCTGAAGGCATCACGTTGCCTCAAGTAAATACAACAGTCATTCTCAGTTTGCCTGACTGATTTACATGCATCCTTGCATACAGTATGCAGTCTTTTCTTTCAAATATTCTTCCCTCTTTGATTCTTTCCCACATCATTCCTTACTTACAGTATATACATATTTCCTTGTCTTTGACTTCCCTTCGAAATACTCTGTTTGCATAAGTCCTCTAATATATATCACAAATGTTTTATTTACTTACTTCCTTTACTTATTTGTATTTCTTTCTATCCTTTGCTGTTGCTTCTATCCTTCCCTCATTTCACCTTTAAGCCTGCGTCTGGATCGATAAAGAGGAGGTGAGAAAGTAGTCGGCCTTTACACTCAAAGCATTGTTGTGTGAGCAGAATCACTTTGGAGGATAGAAAGAAAGCATAACTGAAAAGGTTGTCTGTGTTTTGTGATTAAGCTTCTCTCAGAACCTTCATTCTGTGTCATTCTTTTTGCCTTTTTGCCCTTCAGTCTATCGCTCTTTTGTCCATCTGTTCTCCCCCTCATCGAACTCAATCTCTTCCTCTTTTTATGTCCATCGAAGAATTTTGGCCTCATTTCACCTTTCATATTTCCCTCTTGATCTTTCTTCACCCTCCTATTATGGCAAAAAAAGGCTTGTCGTGCCTCTCTTGAAATTTGTGAACAGAAGTCTTCACTCGTCAGTTAAGTGAGCAAAAAAAAATGCTAACGCACTTAGCACAGAACTCACGGTAAAATACCCTTATTACTTATCGGATCTGCACAGACAATATGTCGATTAGCAAGCTGAGATTCCACAAATTCCAGAAATATAAGTATCATCACTGAGCGATCGGAACTCGTGACAGGGGAAGCAAATACATACATCACACCACGTAGCTTTATGGAGCAAACACGGGAGAAATGTCTTACCTTTTGCTGTTTCTGATCAAAAGTTGTGTTGAATGGCATTACAACGATAAAAACGCTGCTGAAGGTTAATCCATAGGTTAATCCAATGTGTCTGTGTCACTTTGAAATGATTACTGATAATCCATCTTCATATTTATGTCAATAACGGAGTTTTCATAGTTGCTATGAGAGCTTCCAGAGTGTATGACAGCTTCCGGTTTTGGGCATTCTGGCTACGCATCAGTCATTCACCAATGGGTAATGTTTAGATGGATTTTAGGAACTTCCCCTCGATTCTATTGGCTCTAACGGTTAAAAGGAGGTGTCAATCATCAAAATCGATTGAGGGGGGCCAGAGATATGGAAAATGCACCCAAATGACCCCAGAAGTGTTTTTCTTTTGCTAAACCTCTCTAAAAAGGTCAAATGTCACTTGTTTTGCATCAATCTTGATACAGGGTACTTATTATATGTTATAGTTTGGATTCAAGGGTGGTTTTCACTATAAGTAATGTTTTTTTTTTTGGACGGACACTATAATTAAAAATGTTTTACTATGTTCAATCTGAATTTACTTTAAAATAAAAAAATTCTATATTGATTCTTTTTTTTTTACATCCAACTCACAGGTTTATCATTGCTTTGAGAAAAAAAGATTATTAATTTAACCCTTTTAGAAGTGAAGTTATGGTCATTTGTTCTGGGAATGTCCTTTTCGAGCCTGAGGCCTGAAAAACAGGCTCGGGGTTCAACTGGTTTAACAGCTGATGGATTGTTGGAGGCCGTGCCAAATTGATTTCAAAGTGTCAAAAAAATCCTTCTTAAGCCATTCTGTGTGTTTGATATAAACTAAGCTTGTTTTTCAATTTCAGTGGTTGCTGGCCATCTTTTAATGGCATGTTGGCTGAGAATCCCTTTGTTACAGTATGTCCCAATGTGCTTAAGTACATCTATCTGAATAGCAAGCTGGATTGTTGGTGCTCTTTGTCATTATCACCCATGGAATAGTACATCTCAGGAGTTGAACTGAGCTTTAATAGGGTATCTTTAGATTATGGCACAGAGGAATGCAACATTAACTTTTGATTGGTTACATTTCTCATCAGATATTTCTTTTAAATCTTGCATAATTTAGAATAATTACTAATCTATTTTCTGAAGATGTGAATGTCCAATACAGGGCACTGATTCATATTTTGTAACTTTGGTTGCCTTCCTCTTACATAAGTACCATTGTGTAAGCTCAAAGGAACAATTAAGTACAGACTAAAATTAAATTAATAGATTAAAAGGTTGATAGAGACATTTGCGCATGCTCGGGTATATTTGTTTCATTAAAATTAAATAAATTGGTGTATTCAATTAAAAATCATATGATGTACTTATTCAATTACCAAGGGTATGGCTAATGAACGAAAACCACACTTAAATATATCCAAGTACAGAGGTGGAGGTGCATGAATTTATAGATATACGTCTACCTTTAGAGCCTTATACCCAAAGACAATAAATAAACAAGAAAGTGGGAGATTAAAGCAAAAGTCTAGTGGAGGATTGCTACATATTGAATAGAAGCAGAACAAATGAATGTACTATAGGTCTATAAATAATCAGTATGATAAAAGCAGAAGAAGGGAGAAGAGACAGTTCATTCCTCAGAGGTTCAGGTCTAACTGCATCGATGCAGTAAAGAGGAAGAAAGTCCAACAGTGGAATGAATAGCATTTTATATTTGTGCTGAATGGTATCGATTGTCTGGGCAGGGATGATTCTGAATTGTGTGTGTGTGAAATTACAGTTATTGTGCTTTTGTGAACGGCCAGTCTTTCATTTTGGGAAAGTGGGACAAAGTCCCACCTGCCGGTAGCAGAAAAAAGTGTGATTCGAGTGGTATTAAGAAACTTAGAAATATGTATATAAAATCCTGCATTAATACATGCTGTTAGTGTTTGCTGTTGTTATTTACCATTATCCCCCAATTAAGGGTCAGTTGCCAAAAAGGAATAGTTTGAATATACTGATTTAATTGTATTTGGCTTGCAAGGCTGCTATGTGTGGATAGCTCAGTGCTTGTACGTCAAGTGCACAGAGCATGGAAAAAAACAGTAAGTAGGCCCGAAGCAATTGGCAAATAACTGTTGTTGTCATTTGACAGAAGCTTGCAGCAGTTAGAATTGACTTTAAAGATAGGGACTATGGTCACAGAACTAACTACTAGCTTATAGACACTCGTTTGCCTCCAGTGTGTTATTCAAAAGCAGTACCTGGTCAAGACAAGGCTTTCACGCAGACCGCACAAACAAACAGTGAATTAAGAAGTAGAACAGCAAGTTGAGGAAAATATGTTTGTGCCCAGTCAGATTATTGTTGAACTTTAGTCAATAGGAAATGGTTTTGCATCTTTGGAATGTAGTTTTTGCCCCACCATTTTTTCCATCTAAAATGGCTATGTACAATATTATCTTTTGAAAACATCTGAACATGTGATTATGGCTCTTTGTGTGAACACTGTACCGCATGTTTGTTCTCTTACCTCCACCAGATGTGGTGTGGGGTTGAAGCCACACAGGTTGCACACTTGGCTGTGACACACTGTACAGGAGTTGTAGTTGGGCGGGTCGGAGCTGCCGATGTTCAGCTCCGTTTTACAAAGAGGACAGTTCACTTTTGGCTTCTCAGGCTCTGGAGCAGGCTTGGGTGCCACCACGGGCGCCTGCTTCTGCAGCGCTTTCTCCAGATGAGCAGGTGTTTGCTGATGCTGTTGTCCTTGCGGCCCTTTTTGATGGTGTGCGGGCGACTGCTGTTGGGGCATTCCATGTTGATGCGACGTGGTCTGCTGCTTCTGAGATGGTGCTTGCGGTCCACCCATCCTAGGACCCCCCATTTGGCTGGGTGCATGGGGGCCACCCATTTGACCCGGCGCATGAGGGCCACCCATTTGACCCGGTGCATGAGGGCCACCCATATGACTGGGGGCATGAGGGCCACCCATTTGACCCGGTGCATGAGTGCCACCCATATGACTGGGGGCATGAGGGCCACCCATTTGAGTGGGCGCATGAGGGCCACCCATTTGAGTGGGGGCATGAGGGCCACCCATTTGACTCGGGGCATGAGGGCCACCCATTTGACTCGGCGCATGAGGGCCCCCCATACTGAATGGTTTGGTGGCAGGGGTTCCTTGCTGTTGCTTGTTGTCAGCAGTCGTATTACTGAACACCACCTTGCCCCGTGCAGGGCTTGGCTGGGTGGAGGCGCCGGCTAGCGGGTCAACATTGATCAGGGTACTGGCCTGATTGAGCAGCGATGCCCCGAAGCCGAAAAGTTTGGTCAGGCCGTCCTGGGCAGGAGGAGGGGCCTGACTCTGAGGTCTGTGGGCTGGGGATGAACCAGCGCTCCTGGTCTGGTCATGGTGACGCGCTACAGACTGGTGCATTGGAGAACCGTGACCCAAATCGGGCTGTGACGGTGCCTTGGTCATGCCAGGGAGAGGCACAGCTCCAGGATGGGGAATCCTTGGACCCCCAGGCTGGTTAAGGCCTCCTGTGAGACCTCCAGCAGCTCCTGGAGCTCCAGGGCCTCTCTGGGAGTACTGGTCGGACTTCATGCCCTGCTGAAAGGACCCTGTCTGGGTCTGTTGGCCGCCAGGGTTTGGTTGTCTCTGCAATCCTGGGGAAGTATGAGGCTGATTTTGGGGTCCTGGCTTGGATGCAGGGTACAACTGGGGCTGAGACTGGGGATACTGCTGGGGCTGGGAGTATGGCTGAGATTGGGAGTATGGCTGGGACTGGGGCTGGGAGTAGGGCTGGGACTGGGAGTAGGGCTGGGACTGGGGCTGGAAGAATGGCTGAGACTGGGGCTGGGGCTGGGACTGGGACTGGGGCTGGGAGTATGGCTGAGACTGGGGCTGGGACTGGGGCTGGGACTGGGGCTGGGACTGGGGCTGGGAGTATGGCTGAGACTGGGCGTATGGCTGAGACTGGGATTGGGAGTAGGGTTGATTTTGGCTGTAAGGCTGAGACTGGGAGTAGGGTTGAGTCTGGCTGTAGGGCTGAGACTGAGGCTGCTGATGGGGCTGTTGCTGCTGCTGCTGCCGCTGGGTGGGCTGACTCTGCGCCAAAGGTTTGGGCTGTGCTGCTGCTGCCGGCTTTATTGGCTGAAGTGTGGGCTGTTGAGGCTGGACGATGGGCTTGGCTTGGTGTGATGGGGAGTGAATCTGCTTTTGGCTCTTAGAGCGAGGCGTGGTCATATCAATGCCAAGAGCTCTCTGCATCTGACAATTCAGACACAGCCACTCCTGGACCTGCAGACAGAGAGCAAAAAAGGTTTCATGTTATTAAAACTTTTCCTCAAATCTAATCACACTCATATTTTCTGTATCAGGTTGTGCCGACTCTTCATTGAAGCTGATTATCTATACTGAGTGAAGTATTTTAAAGCTGTTTATACAACAGTACCAATCCATCATAATGGAAGTATTCTTGGTCTGTTTTGCATCAGCTTATACATAGTTCCCCAATGTTAGCATGTCATATTTGGTATTTTCGGGATCTCCAATATCATTTTAAACAAGGTTCTGCTTGGCTTACTGGGTCATTGAGGTCGAAGAGGTTGTAGCTACCAGTTGTTGTAAAAGTTAAAGCAAATGGAGCAAAGAGAAGGAGGGAAAGATAATGTATGGAGACAGAGCAAACTATTTATGTAACACATCAGTATGATTAATTGACTTTCCTTTTTTAAGCTGATTGCTGTAGATTACTTTAAATATCATCACTGACTCAGACAGGGTGCACAGGAGTCTCATCCAATCCACATGGCCACAGTATTCATTCAGCCAACTTCAAAGCTGAAGATATTAGACAGAGTACATTTGGATGGCTACACACAGCATATGGTCAAGTCTTGTGGAAAACATGCAGAGAGAACAGTTTTAATCAACCAGAAATAGAGCAAGAGAAAGGTAAATTGACTGCAAATTGACTGCAGCGCTGAGTGATTGCTGAGCCGAACCGCAACCGAAAAAGCATCACATCTCTCGCCAACACACATATAAATCCAAAGAGGGATGCACATCAAGTGACATAAGCAACACACAAACAGATATAATAAGAGACACTCGCAGTCAAATGACATGAACGTGAAAACACCTCTCAGCATCTAAAAATAAAAATAAAAAGCATCACCCCTCCTCCTCATCCTTTTCTCCATGTCTTTCTCCTTCCTTCTCTTCTTCCTCCAGATGAGAGCTGATACTCCCTTGTGTCCGGACCTTGCTTGGCTCTCTAATTTCTCCCGACTGCAAACATACACAGCTCCTCTCTGAGTCAACCTGCTCTCGTTCTGTCTGTCCTACTGTAGCTTTGCATCTGCCACAGCTGCCATAAATCGCGCTATTTTAGCTCCTCTGCAGCCAGACCAAAGCTAGTAAATCTGTGCACGTTTCAAGCGTTTCTCCCATCCCCTTTACTTCCCACAATGCAATGCGCAGATGTACTGTATCACCCCGTCTGTATCCACTGAACCCCCTACCCCCTCCCTCCTCTTGATTTTTTTTCCTGAGGACAAGTTGGCTTCTTGAATTTGAAGGGAAGAAAAAAATGTCTGCCTCAGTCACGTACCCTAACTACTGTAAGCACTTCCTCCCAATGTGCTGTCCCAGCCTGCTTTGCAGTCTGGCATTTTCTAGCTTGACGGCATTACTGATCCCACGTTCTGTTAACTCAGCGACTAAAGCCTGACACCCCCCTTAACATATTCTCTTTGTAGCTGTCTTTCCTCTCCTCTCTGCTTCTGTTCTCCCTGTTTTTCTTGTTTTCTCTCTCTGATCAGCTTGAAAATGTAGGTCTCGTTCCTTGAATAGCTAAGGCGGAAGGAGATTTGAAAGTATAATTTTTGCTGTGCAGGCTCCACCCAACTTGTGCTGCCATAATTACATCTGATGAAGATGGCGAGAGGGAGATGGAGAGATAGGGAGCAAGAGAAGGGGGCTGATTTTAATGAGTCCCTGTCTATCCCTCTTTTTCATAAGCAACATCACAAGAGACCCTTGAATGAATGAAGGATGAACCAAATGATGGAGGGATGGGAAAGAGCAAGAAGAAAATGGGGAGGGAGCGAACATGGAGGGAGAGGAGTCAGCAGTTTTTTAATCCAGGCAGCTCTTCTGCTCTCATCATGTCAAGCTTAATCAACAGCACAGCGGCGCAGAATAGCCACTTCTGCTTCAATGTGGATAAAACCAGTGAATCCTTTACACACCTGAGTCCTGTGTTCATAATTAGGCGTACTGAATTGAGTCATCAGCAGGAAAGCATATATCTAAACATAGATGAATAAAACCAAAACCTATCTGCATGGCTGTGGCTTGTGTGCCCCATCTGCTTGTAATACTTACCAGTGCATCTAATTGACATCACACCATCTCGTTCTCTATTAAATCCGAAGTTTGTAGCATAAATGTTACGATTATTGTGTTATGTCACGTTTTGTATGTCTTGTTTTGGCTGTTTTGCTGTTCTCCCTGTCATGTTTTCCTCTTGGTATATTGTCTGGTCCTTTTCCCTGTGTTTTTCCTCCTGTCATTAGTTTCCCTGGTGTGTCTAGTTGTCTGATTGTGTTCACCTGTGGCCCTTGTGTTTCTCCTCCCCTGCCCGGCTGTTTCTCGTCTTGTGATTACCCCTCCCTGTATTTAGTCTTGTCTCTTCCTGTGTTCAGTGTTGGTTCGTCGGGGAGTGTTCTGATTGTCCGTGTGCCATATCCTTGAAATAAAGGTATTTTCAGTTTTTTCTGCATTTGGGTCCTGCCTGCTTCACTCACCGTAACAGAACGAACCAACCAGGATGCACCCAGCGGATTCAGCTTTTTTGATGCTACAGGCGGACCGTCTTGGGTGCTCTCTGGAGTACATTTTTTATACGTGGGATGACGCCTCATCTATACGGGGTAGAGTGGCTGCTTTGAAGGAGGCACGCCAGGAGGTTGCTCGCAAGCCCTGGCTCAGGAGTTTGTTGCCTGAGTGGCTACAACTTTTTACCAGTAGTCCTGGAAACTTTTCTCAAGCCTCTAACCCTTTCCTGGGATCCGACTACTGTACTGGTAGAGGTCCACGGTGTCTCCAAGGGGCCTGTAGGAGACGCAGGGCCAGGATTCCAGCCCGTGCCCCAGCAGCCATGTTTCCGGCTCCAGTGCCGGCCCCAGCAGCCATGGTTCCGGCTCCAGAACCGGACCTTACAGCCATGTTTCCGGCTCCAGAACTGGACCTTACAGCCATGTTTCCGGCTCCAGAACCGGACCTTACAGCCATGTTTCCGGCTCCAGAACCGGCCCATACAACCATGGTAGCCATGGTTCCAGACCCAGCTCTGGCCCCAGCTGCCATAGTCCCTTCTCTGGTCCCCTCTCTAGTCTCTTCTTGAGTTCCCCCTCTAGTCCCTTCCCAAGTCCCTTCTCTAGTCCCTTCCCTAGTCCCTCCTCAGGTACCATCTGAAGTCCCTTCTCTAGTCCCCACTCTATTCCTTTCTCTATTCCTTTCTCGAGTCCTAACTCAAGTCCCTTCTCTGGTCCCCTCTCTAGTCTCTTCTCTAGTCCCTCCTCTAGTCCCTCCTCTAGTCCCCTCTCTAGTCCCTCCTCTAGTCCCTTCTCAAGTCTCACCTCTAGTCCTTCCTCTAGTCCCTCCCCTAGTTCCTCCTCTAGTCCCTTCTCTAGTCCCTTCCCTAGTCCCTTCTCTAGTTTCTTCTCGAGTCCCCTCTCCAGTTTCCTCTCAAGTCCCCTCTCAAGTCCTCTCTCAAGCCCCCTCTCGAGTTCCCTCTCGAGTTCCCTCTCCAGTCTAGTGTTAATTTCGTCAGCTATTTTTTAATTTAGTTTTAGTCTTAGTCCTGTGTTAAATTTCCTTTTTAGTTTTAGTCATATTTAGTCACCTTCATCCTGTTTTTATTTAGTCAAGTTTTAGTCGACTAAAAGTCTGAGCATTTTAGTCTTATTTTAGTCGACTAAAACAGTAAACATTTTAGTAAAGATTTAGTCGACTAAAAGTCTGAGCATTTTAGTCAAAGAAAACTAATTATTTGAGTCTACTTTTTGTCAATAAAAACTGTTGAGTATTTTTTAGTCATCAGATTATATAGAACATTTCAGTCAAACTAGTCTAGCCAAAACCAATAATTTGTCATTTTAGTATATATAAATAAATAAGATTATATCTTGTCCTTATTTGATGAAAAACACAGGTTGAATGATTAAGAAAGCAGCTTTGCAGAGAGTATCTGCTCAGGTTTGTGGTGTTTTTACCAGCTGTGTTATGGCCACATTGCTTCCCTTCTGATAAAACAATGCATTCGCTTTTTTTCTCCGCCTCATTGTAGCGAAAATGGGCCCAAATATCACATCGTTTCTTTCTCCCAAGCAGTGGTGGCTTTAGACTTTTTCGTTGTCAGTCATTTTGACGGATCGTAACATTTCCGTCATAATCCATTATTATCCGTCGAGTGCACAATTTATCAATCACTCGCGCTGACGGGGGGGGTATTCGGTTAACGCGAGTGCGACCACTGCTCCCAAGCCCTGTTGCCATTTCATTTTCTGTTAAATAAGGTTAGTTGGACCATTAGTTAGACCCGAGTCTTCCTGACAGTTCACAGTGTGCCGCTGCCCGGTGTAATTCAAATCTACCGCCGCGCGCACCGCAGACACACACAGCTGCTGCCCTGCCGCAGCCCCGGAAATGGAACTGCTGGGAGAAAAACTGACTATCAGAGATGTAACGTTATATTTGATAAAATTTCGTCTCCTCATTTTTCGTCAACGAAAGTAAAGAGAGATTTTGGCATAGTTTTTATTTAGTGAACTACATTTTCGTCTCGTCACTTTTCGTCAACGATATTGCATGATGATTTCGTTACAGTTATTGTTTACTGCCGTCGGTGCCGTCTCGTTTTCGTCATGGAAAAAAAGGTCGTTGACGAACATATTTCGTCATAGATTTAGTCAACGAAATTAACACTACTCCAGTCCCAACTCAAGTCCCTACTGAAGTGCCGTTGGAGGTTCCGCTGGGGGTCCTGCCAACTACTCTCCTGCCGGGGGTCCTGCCAACCCTATGTCCTGTCCCGTTGGAGGTCCCGCCGACTACTCTCCTGCCGGGGGTCCTGCCAACTCCTTGTCCTATCCCGTTGGAGGTTCCGCCGTCTACTCTCCTGCCGGGGGTCCTGCCAGCTCCTTGTCCTGTCTCGTTGGAGGCCCCGCTGACTACTCTCCTGCCGGGGGTCCTGCCAACCCTTTGTCCTGTCCCGTTGGAGGTCCCGCCGT